GACCCCAACTTGTATGTTTCTTTCCTTGTTATTTGTGGAGTGCAGCAAACGTGTCGTCGTCTTCAACCCAACCGCAACTCTAGCCAGTCTTCATTACACTGGATTTCAGGGTGAGCTAATGCTTCTAGCTTGGAATGGATCTTCCTCTTCATGTCTTGATGCCTTGAAGTTCCGGCATGGACTAGCTTTTTTTTGTATTTTAGCTTCTAGATACTTTTAACTTTAGTAATTTGAAGTAGATGTTCGTGTGATGATGACTTCCAGATTTTTGGGATAATAATTGTTGTTGAGTTTTTAGAAATTATTGAATTGGTTTTTATTAATGAGTTTAAGTCTTCCGCATTACTTTTTGTTGATATTATATTGAAATGTTAAGGTTTAGATTGGTTGGTTCGCTCACATAGGAGAATAAATGTGGGTGCCAGTCGCGGCCCGATTTGGGTCGTGACACTTATTTTCCAGTATTCAAAATCAGTTCAATTAAAAATGAAGAACAATTGAAGAATCAGCACCTTCATTTGTTTTGGATGCCATATTTTTTTCTTCACCTAACCCCAGATTAAAAACGAAAACATGCTCTTGATATCAATTTGTAAGAAATATGGAAGGAAAATAATATATTTAGATAATGCTCAAGTTTATTATAGGCTATTTAAGGCCACTTGAGATGATTATAATCATCAACTACATCACTATTTATGCTACTCAAAATAGAAAACAAAAAGTCTTTCTCAAATAACTAAATACATGTATCACAATTTACTAGATACATGTACTACTAAATTCTAAAGAGACTTCTTGAAAAACTAAGAGACAATTTCGAAAAACTAAACATTGATGCATTAATTCCAACATAGTTCAGATTTCATATATAGATTGGGAGGATTTTAGACCATTTTCTTAAGAATGCTTTGAACAAAATAAAGCAAGCACAATGTTTTTATATATGTGTGTTCCTAAGGATATATGAGTTTTATACCCTAGCCTCCTACACCATCTCAATTATTTTTGCAGGAGAATTAACATGTATGATGAAGTTTAGAACCTGGCTTTCAGAATAGAAGCAACTCTTTTTAGAAGATTACCAAAAGAATGAATGAAAATGGACAACTACAAATTTCATGTTACCTAAGCTCTCATTCTAAATTGGTTATGATAGGAAATTATTCTTAATCCTGCAAAATATTACATAGAGATCAATTTTTTGCTTACAAGATATATAAAATACGGTAAACTTTTTTTTTAAAAAATGAAGAATAAAGTAGTACATGTGTGTGTAATAATATTGTAGTATATGTGTTTCTAAGGAAATAACCCTGTACCAATTTACCCAAAACCATCAAGTTTAAGAAAAAATTGATTTGTTTTCCATACATTTAATAAATCTAACAAATTTATTTGGAGCAATTGTGATTACTAATCGTCTAAAAATTAGTAAGACCAATAACTAAATGGGTGTCCATACCCAACATAAATTGCTGATTATTATTTAGTCAAGCAAAGTCGGCTACTATTTCCCATCCAAAAAAATAAAAAATTACAATGATAATATCAGAAGCAATTTATTTTATACCCTTTTCTTCATACTTCTTCGTTTGTATTCTACATCGAGGGAAAGAGCCATCTTAGGCAAATGCAATCTAGAGCATATTCTTCGCCAAAAAATTATGTGATTTAGAGTTACCTGTCAACTAATTGAAGTGTATATTAATTTTGCATATCTTTTACCAAAATTCTTATTCCGCCACTATACAAGTGACTTTAATATTTAGCTATATATTCTCGAACGTTAATACCATATTTGTAGGTAGACAGGCAGTCGTTACTTAACCATAGTTATCAGCGTTCATCAAACAATATTCATGATTTGCTATATAGTTTGGCTATAAAATGAAGTCTTTTTTGGGTGTGGAGGAATTATTTAAAGATCAAATTCGCATGTCAATTCAGCAGTTACATGCATTATGGTTGCACCAAATAATAGTTGTCATCAAAATCTAACTTCACACCATTTTTCTGATGCATATTAGGTCATATACAACAATGAAACAAATGTCGTAAGATAAAGCAAGATCAAGATAAAAGTAGAAACTTTATTGATTTTATTAACACCCCAAAATCTGATTGTCACGTATACAAGTCAGTAATACATTAAGTGCAGAATTTTAGAAATAAGTACAAATCTCAAGTCTTTGTTTCTCAAATAGAACAAAGCATTAAAAAAATAACTAGAGAGTCCGCAGGGATGACAAACAATTACCTCTCAACAGTTCTTCGACAAGCCTCGAAGATGGGAGAAAAAGAGCAATCACATAGTACCGGTTTCAGAACCTACACAAGTGTAGAAATAATGAGTGATTATCAACAACACGATATCCAACAAACAACCTAACAACCACAGGACAACTAGATATAAATCAACTACTCATTTCATCCTCAACTGAACCTCCTCAAACTATAACCTGCACATAAATCAGCTCAATATAATAATTCTACAATACATAGCTCATAAAATTCAATAATAATATTCAAATAGTCACAATTCAACAACCAACATGTATCAAGTAAGTTAACCTCAAGTGTCAAGCAGAGCAATTACAAGTAACAAGTGCATCAATAACAATCAACAAATAGATCAATCATAACCATCAACATATGAATCACATCACAATAATCAAACTCTTGCTAGAACCATTTCTCATCAACTTTGTATCATGTTACTAGCCGAAACCATTTCTCGTCGTCTTTATATCACATCAGTTGTCAAAACTATTGTCCTTCGGTATATATATCACTAGTCGAAACTATTTTCCATTTGACTTTATCTCATCATGGTGTACAATAATTAATGCACATAAGCAGATACGCATCATAAGGAAGAGACAACAATTCAAGCAATTCAAAACCACATTCATGCGATCAAAGTATATCTGTTCGATTATACTATTAACCATATGATTCAGTTATAGTATTTATTTTAATCCTTTATAATGACTTTATGTTTTATATTAACTATTGCAATAAAGTTTTTATTTGAATAGACCATTGTGTTTACTTGTGTGTCCATTACTTATATAGTAAACGGTTTTTGGGTATGGAGTTGCATAACTCATACGCGGACGATTAAAATTGTCTATTCTTATGAGTTATAAATTAAATGTTCACAATCAAAAAAGAAGTGGGACAAACATCTTGATGATTGTAACACAAGATTAAATATAATTCCATCTTAATTATGGGAATGGTAAAATTCCAACTACTTGTGTTAGTAATTTTGCATGTATTGAACGGACCAAATTGAGATATGTACTTAGGTTTTGAATTTCAATAAATAATATCTCTAGTCCATTACATGATTTTATACTCTTGATGTTGGTGTAGTTGTTACGATATGTGTTGTTTTTTAATCTATTAAAAGGTGAGTGTGTGTATATATATACACACATCACATGAATTAATTTAAGCATAAAGATAACAGATTAAATTAATAAATGGATTAAATTTTGTAGAAGTTTGACTTAATTGATTGGTGTCGGTAATTCTAACATGGGGAGTTAAATAAGTTATGACGAAAAAAATTGAAATTAAGTAGGAGTGCAGTTACATATTTTTAGTGTTACAATCCATGATTTACTATGATGAGGTTAATTCTTGTTTTTTAAAAATTAAATATTATAATTGAAAGCCTCTAAAATTGTGATCCCTACTATGCCTGATTAATTGATCTAGTTCGGAAACGAAAAAGAATGCTAGTATTTTTTCAGTTTAGGAATAAAAAAATTTTTGACTTTTATTAGTTTAAAAAGAAAAAACATTTATTTTCTTAAAAGAAGAAAGAATAAAATATTGAAATTCGTTGTTTCCTTTAGAAGATAAAGAAACAAATAATAGTGTTCAATGGTTACTAATGGTCATTGATGGTGTTTAATGATTGTTTATTTCCCTTGGTGTTTAATGATTTTCTAAATACACTTAATGATATTTAGTTATTCTTGATAACTATTGATCATAGTTGTTATATACTCTTAACAGTGTAAAAGTACACTTAATGGTATTTAACGGTTGTTGATGACTATTGGTAATGGTTGCTGGATACACTTCACAGTGTCCAAATACACCTAAATGTATTTATTGACTATTAATTATGACTAAAAATATTTTATCTTTCAAATCTTTTCCTTATAGTGATAGGTAAAACTAGTGGGGTAGTTCTCAAGGAAAGATCATCATTTTTCTAAAACTTTCCTTCACAAACAAGACTTGATTGAAAGAGTAAGTCTCGGCTGCAATTTTGGAGTCTCAGTCCATTAACGAGTTATGTGAAAGCTAAAAAGGTTAGACTTTCACAATTTATTTAGTTTACATTATTATGCAATTACGTAAGTTTGTGATCTGGAAGAATGCTTTTTGTTGTGCATATTCTAACAATTGATATCAGAGACTTCTTACATATAACTAATAATGTAATACAAGTCCATGATTGTGATACATATTTGATTAAATTTATATATATCATGTTGTTCTTTTCTTCAACATTTTTTTGTTGTTTAAAAAAATATTTTTTTGTACTCCAAAGTTGTAAGGGTTCATCCCTACTTCTAAAAACTTATTTTTAACAGTTAACATATGAGTTTTATGTTGACTTATGTCCTCTTTCCCATCTGGGTAAACTTGTATATTTTGATACTATTATATTTGTCTTTTGATTTTTTGACTTGTTTTAACTTTTCAACTAATTTGCGTGTTGAACCAATGAACAAAACAATATATACACCGACTAAAACTCCACAAATTACTCTCTAACTGAGTTGAACTTGTCTTGTTTAAGTGGTACTACATATATGAACTTGTTCATATATTTGTTTGAATATTTAAATTTTCCTATCGATTCTAACTGTTTATTAGCATGATTATATGTGTCTTGTTTTTGATTATTTTTAAAAAAAATAATATAAAATGTATGTTACTTATTATCTATTTAAATATCTCTCGGATTAGTTATGTCACACTTCAGTTCTCTGTCCTCTATGTTGAACCAAAACAAGCTGGAAGTTCCTAACTATTTGGATTTGAAACAAAACCTTGAAACTGTTCTAACATATGAGGGTTTCAAGTATGTGTTGGTTGAAGAAATCCCCATCAAACCAGAAGATGCTACTGATAAGGAGATTAAGGTCTATGAAATGGCTCAGGGTTGATGAGATGGCAAGGTGCTACACTCTTTCGTTAATATTTAATGTCTTGCAGCATCAAATCAGTCGATAAATCTGCTTATGATATGCTCGGATCTCTCAAAGAGATGTTTGGAGAGAAGAATTGTGCTTCCAAACAGATTGCCATAAAGACTATGTTAACCACTAAAATGGTTGAAGGATCACTTGTCAAGGATCATGTGTTGAACATGATGAGTTATCTGAATGAGCTTGAGATACATGGTGGTGCTATTGATATGGAATCTCATGTGGAGATGATCATACAAAATCTACTGGGCAATTTACAATAGTTTCACTTAAATTATAATATGAATAAAATGGATTTTCCTCTTACGCAATTGTTGAATGAACTGACAGCGACATAATCCATTATCAAGCAACAAACTCCTCTCTTTGTGGAATACATGGTGGGGGAACATATCTCTTCTTTGTTTAAACCAGTTAAATCCCAAAAGAAGAAGAAGAAGTCAGGCAAGGTTGTGGAACCCATAGGTGCGACATGTGGTGTAGCTAAGACTAAGAAAGTGCTACCATTGCACGCAACACGGTCACCGCAGGAGGCAATCCCTGACTGTCAAGACAAATGAAGAACAAAAGTAATTCCTGTTTAAATGTCATTGAAATTTTTTTAGTGATTGTTTCTACCCAATTATGGGTTGTAAATTTGGGAGCAATTGACCATGTCTGCAATTCTTTGCAGGGGTTTCAATAAATGTGGCAGCTAAGTGAGAATGAAGTTTGTGTTTTTCATGTGGATGGGAACAACCACCAGTCGTAATAATAGGAAATATCTCTTTTTGTTTTAGTAATTCCAGAATTCTATTTTCAAAAGATGTTCTTTAATTATGTACCTTCGATTAGAAGGATTTGCTTTCCGTTTAAAATATAATTGATGCTTATTATGAAGTTTTATTTGCAAAGAATTGTTATGTTATTATGTATGATAAGAAATTCATCCATTGTTCTCCTAACACCACAAGCATTTTACGTGGAAACCTCCTTACTCAATGGAGTAAAACAACGACCTTTTGTACAAGACTTTCAACTGTTTCACTAATCTTCCTTAAGCAAAAGTGAACCCAACAACCAATGTGAGAAAAAATTATTAATCTCACGACCAAGTAATCTACCTATTACTTGAAGAGTCTAAGCAAATACAACACTGCCCACAAAGCTATCACATCTAGATAACTAGATTTTTTCTAAGCGGATACAACACCACCCACTAAACCATCAAACTCTAGATGATTTAGAATTTCCTCGAGCAAATACAACACTGCCCACTAAGACACCACGCTTTGGATGACTTAGACTTTGCTAAGCGGATACCACACCACCCACTAAACAATCTAACTTTAGATCACTTAGAATTTGAAGAAGAAACAAAATAATGTTGCCCACTAAATCAGTTAACACTAAATGATTTAAACTTTTACGAATCGGAAATAAATATTTGAATCCTTTATAGATTAGGAAAAATTTTACAATGTAAGCACAGAAGATATAATCCTAAGACAACTAGACAGCTTGCAGCTCTATCAGGTCCTTGTTGCTTTTGAGAATAATATTTCTTGAAGAAGGCCTTTTGATTTTGAGCTTTTGGATTGTCTGAAATCCAAAACTTTGTTTGCCAAAACTTAATGTTTGTGTTGTTAGATAAGAGACTAAATTGAAAAGAACACAAACCCTTGGGACAAGGCTATTTGCTGAGAGCTTGTTGTTCTCAAAAGTTGTGCACCAACCATATTAGAGTTGGCAGTTTTTTGGCAGCTGTCTTTTCGTCCTTTTCATGTACACACACTTTACGAGACCAGGTTCCTTGTTGCGTTCATTGATGCTTGAGTTCTTGACAAAAACTTGTTGTCTCTTTCTCTTCTTGAATGAATGAACATAATATGTTGTTTGTCATGTTGAGAGTATCAGCCACAAAGATTTATTAACCGTTGGACAAACAACCTCTTCCATTCTGATTAGTTTAGTACGTTGGGACCTCACCTACCACTTACAGGACAACTTTACAGTTGTACACCATTATATCAGATGGAGAGTAGTCTGCTGGGGATCAGGTCCCTGCGTTACTGAGCCATTAAAATAGACAATGTCGTTCAGTATTCTTATTAGTGCAGCACACTGCACTTTCACCTACCACCTGACATGACAATATTATAGTTGTAACCAGGATAAATCCGAACGAGAGCACTATGCTTGGGTTTGGGTCCTTGTATTTGATAAGATCGACGAAACACCTGAAATATAACATTTCCCCCTTTTTGATGAAGAAATACAAATATTCCGCATGATGAGTTTATTCATTCACTTCCCATTTCATCTTTCCCAACACCAGAGGATCCTTTCTTGGATATAGTCCACGGTTAAATTCTAGATTTGTGAGGATCATCAAAACACCTAGAATATAACATTTTCCTCCTTTTTGATGATGACACACAAATGTTCCTCACATTGAGTTGCCTTGTAATCAGTCCCACTATCAAGGATCTGGTTCTTTATTAGATCCATAAGTTTTTATAAATCATCAATATTTAACATTAGCTCCAAAATAATATTTCCCCCCTTTTTGATGATAACAGACTTATTCATGTTCCCCTTTTCACTAGTTCCCCTATCAACAACACTATTCGGGTGACTGGATTGATTTCAAGTGTGTCAAATCATTAAAATTTCTCATCATCAATAAAAGTTTTGATGATGAAAAACTTGTTCAACACTTCTTCCCCCTATCGGAATGACCATATCTTCTTCAAGTGGTTAGATTTGACTCCCCCTACCGACTTGACCATGTCCACTTCAAATAAATAACTTCATTCTCACACCTTAACAACTTTTCCCACTTTTGACATCATAGAAAAGGGTTAAAGCAGTAAACCAAGTTGACAAAAATGCAGATCAAGAAGAATCATGCAACTTGTGCAACACTAATCATGAGTAAAAATGCATAAAATAGTGAGAAAAGACAGTAGAAACAAGGCAGTTTCTTATCATTCATCAGTAAAAGATCAACAATCAAAGCATTGCAAATAATATTATGAATAAGAACCAAGGCAATACCCATTGATTTTCGATAGAAGAAAAAAATAAGGACTAACATAGGAATTTAGTGAGAGAGCGGATGATGTAGGAGCAAGTGATGGAAAGAATAGAAGTAGTAGAACATATCCCTTAGCATGATTTTAAGAAGCTTCTCTTAAGGTTCAACATGCTTTGATGCCAATATTTTTTGGTTGTACCTGGCCTTTGTTATTATTCCTTCAAAATCTAAGCCTTCAACCAAACTATTTTATCATCCATGTTAACAAGAGAAATTGTCATAACTTTCATATAAAGCCTGAGTCTCTCGTAAAAAAAGGATTCACAAGATTAAACTTACTCAAGGCCTCCAATATTAATAGATCAAAAATAGAGGATTGATAATTTTTTTTTGTTCACAGTCCTTCCAATTCAGAAAACTTTGAGTTCTCAAAATATCATCCTCTTCCTTTTATTTTAAATATTTTTTCCACCTTTTTGTTTTTGCTTGTAGGACCTGGTCCCGCTTCACACTCTGAAATTTCTTTATGAGAAAATTCTCTAGTAGGAACAAAGGTTTTAAGCATTTGAAGTGTTTTTGAGAGAAGGTAAAAGAGGATATCGAGTATTTTTGAATTTCAGAATGGAATATGAGTTTTTTTGGGGATATAGCAAGACATATAAAGTATAAGGGAATTGCAAACAAATGTTATCTTGGTATTCAAATGATGGAGCAAAGGTCCTACATGTAGAAATTGCAACGGTTCTCATACATAATTCAAAATGCAATGTTAAGAGTGCTAACCTTCGAAAATGGACCAGGTCCTTCTCTGCATGTTAAATGTGATTGCCTAGATCTGTCCTGACCTCCCTTTTCCTTCAGCCCTTTTTCCATGTGTGTATATGTAACATTCTGAAAAATTCCATGTCTAGTGAAGAACCTAATATGACTTTAAGAATGCATATTCGGGATACATAGGCCTTCCAATGCCTAATATTGAGAAATATTGAGAGTAGTATAGAAAATTGGCTAAGGGGTATTAGCCAATTTCTATATAATGCCCAAATAAGTAAAATATTGGGCATATTAAATAATATTGGCTTAAAGGATGTTAGCCAATGTTCTAAGTATTAATGAGTTCGTTTAAGAATGTACCTGCAATGAAGACACTAAGCTAAAATACAATAAATTTCAATATACAACATATGTGTTAGGCATCCATATGTCAAGCCTAGGCACCATAGCACGTGAACAATCAAAACGGAACGTAGATTAAGCAGTGCCCAAGGACATAGTGAGGAACCTTGGGACAATAAGTAAACATTACAAATGAACCATCAAGAATATTTAATTAGGAAAGTACAACCAACACATGTGCAAGCCCATGTGCACGCACATGGGGAGAAACGGCGAAGGAGGGGACCACCCTAACTGAATTCGGTTATGGTAGTTAAGGGGCAGGCGTGCATAAGGGTTCCACCATGTGGGGCCTAGCTCTCTAACTAATTCTAGACTCTAACCTACTAACCTAACTAAATAACTAACCTAGGACTAACAAGAATAAATTATCTGGTACAACCGACAACCTAAGACTTAATTGAGTGACACTAACCTAGTAACTAGATAAAGAGACAACCTAGTACTTAACCTAGGATGGTCCAAAAGGATTAGTTATGGTCCCAAAGACATAGGGGTACTATAGTAATTACCCTAGCTACCTTAATTAATGTAATTAATCAAAATTTCAAATATTGGTTGAGACATAGCCTATTTCCAGATTTTCGGTCAAGTCAATGTTCTCCTATGTTTAGTAAACCTAGGAGGGGTATTTTGGTAATTAACTAATTAATTTATTTAATTAACTTATTAAACCTAAGTTGAATGAGTCAATATCAGTTCCTAAGACTTACACTCACGTTCAAACACCCTATACATGACACAAAACAGTAAGCACGCGAACGAAAGAAAAACAGAAAGTTCCATTGATTCTCTTAGGCAATTTCAAGGTTTTCTTCAAGGTTTCATACAAGTTGTTCTTCGTAGATTAAATTCTACATAAGATACGGGTTTTATCTCCTGCATTGTTTCTCCAAGAGTATTTTCCAACGTCTTGAATCTATGAAATCTCAAATCTAGGGTTGTTTCCCAATGTTCCTGTTGAACGTCCTTTTTCCCTAGTATCCTTCTTTCCAATTCCACTAAGTATATAGATGTAGTCTCTATCATGTTGTTGGTATGTGATGCTGGATGATCTTTATTTGTATG